CCTGCACTCATGGTTGATGTTCACCTGCTGTCTAACTGCAGCTCATTAAGGCACACACCTGCAATGACTTAACTTGGGCTTTGTTCAGCTTTTAACTCACCCAGAAACAATGAAAGCATTTGCTATTATTGAATACTGTTTGTTTTTCCTCTGGGTTTTTGTAACTGTGATACTCTCAGCTGACCTCTAGGTTATTGGAGGCAGAAAGTTTGTGGAACCCTCTCTAGCTTAAGGATATAAATAGCAGTTGAGTACAACAGGCAGGAGGTTGCGATGGCATTGCTGACAGCACTTGGAATATATCATTTCTTGGTGATAAATACTGATCAGAAGTCTCACTGCTCAAAGAAAGTTAGTCGTCTCTGCGTTAGGGTGGAGACTTCATGCAGGGAACAATACAGCTGACCCTTGAAGGCCTGAAAGCTACCATTTCTGAGATAATCAGAGGCCATGGTGCAGTAAATCCAGAAGCTGTCACTCCTGTGATATGTTCCCTCAACTTTCTACCAAGGGCTGCTGACCTTCATGTCCCCAAAACTGCTTTTGCAAAGCACTGCAGAGGCCAATGGCTTCCATGCTCCCTTTTACATTGGTCAAAAGATTTATGACCAGAAATCTTGTAAAAATGGAATTTCAGCTGCTTTTCCTTCACTGACAGTTTCACAAACATCCTACAAATCATAGCACTAGTGCCAAATTCTTGGGCCTCTGCTCAACAGATTTTATCAAGCTTTGATAGCCTCCAATACTAAGTTCCACTGTAACGTGCTCAAGTTTATTATTAGCTTGCTATAGGAAAATGTTATTGAACTGTTAACAGTATTTGTTACAACGTCCAGGACTCAAAGCACCTGCAACACCTGCAAATAAATCATATCTTTTTGTAGTCTAGAAATATATATTTATTATTTTAATCTGGGAAGAACGGGGAAAGTAATTTTATTTTAAAACCCCCACAAATCCTGTGTACCAAGTAATCAGTCACACTTTATGCACTGACTTTCTTCACATCTGTGCAAATCAAGCCATTGTACAAATGTATGAGGACCTGTGGCATATAACACATTCAGCTATGAAACTATGGGTGTTGTTATGTGCTGAGTCTTTAAATGGAAGGTGGCACATCTGCTTTTGGCATGGTGTTGCATTGGAGTGTAAATCAATCCAAGATGCATACTGAAGAGTAAGTAACTTGTCCACTTGCTCTTTGTTACATCCAGCTTTGATTTTGTTCTTTATTTGTTATTTTCCTGGCAGTCAAATGCAGGCTCTGCATATTGAAATTATGCATTGTTTCTTCAAGTATGGTTAACATAACATGTCATGTAACATATAAGAAGTACGTGCTGGGAAATAATTTGGACCAAAATACAAGCCAAGAGTGAGGTGAAGAGAAAAAGATAAGTACAAACAGCTACACCACAGTGACTGAGAGTTTTATTACTCAGGATACCCCTAATACTTTTGAAATGAATAACAAGGCCAACATTTGATTCCATGTTCTAGCTCTTGGCAATTAGTGTGCAAAATTTGCAACAGTGAAGGATGGCATATTTTTTCTTCCTTATCAACCAGAGGCACAAATAAGCCAAAAGGGCCAACTGTACGCTGGCTTGCATTAGGCCCAGCACTGCCAGCCAGTTGAGGGACGGGATTGTCTCGCTCCATGCTGCACTGGTGTGGCCTTACCATGAGCACTATGTGTATGTAGATCTGGGTGTTGCAATAAGGACGTGAAGCTATTAGAGACAGTCCAAAGGAGAGCAACAAGGACAGTGAAGGGTCTAGAGCGAAAGACATTTGAGGAGTGACTGGGCTACTTGGATTGTTCAGCCCAGAGAAGAGCAAACTGAGGAGAGTATTCATGGAGACGCATCAGATGGTCAGGTTAGGTACTAGGAAAAGATTCTTTACCAGGGGGTGATCAGGCACTGGAACAGGCTCCCCAGGGCAGTGGTCACAGCACCAAGCTGCCGGAGCTCAACAAGCATTTAGACAAGGCTCTCAGAAACGTGGTTTGAATTTCAGGTAGTCCTGAAATTCAGGTAGAGCCAGGAGTTGGGCTCCGTGATCCTTTTGTGCCTCTTTTAACAGGATATTCTGTGATTCTGTGATTAAAGAATGGAGGAATCATTGTGACTCAACTTTCTGTTTACTGAAGGTTTATACACCTTGTACAACAGGGTCTGCCTGAGCAAGACTGCTTAGAATCCTGTATTTTACCACTCACATGGGTTGCCCAGCAGGAAAGACAATATGATATTGGCACTGGTCAACGCCTTTCCTAGAGGCTGGCCCTTTCTGGAGAAATTGCTCATCTATTTGGCACAGCTTTTAACATGCTTCTCTCCCATTGACTCTAGGGTCTGCTGCAAGAACAGCAGCTGGAGGACAGCAACATCTTTTGTAGACAGTCTGTTCTGTGGGATACCTGTGAGAAGCAGCACTTAAAGCATGGGTGTCCAACCTTGTATCTTGCCTGGGCCATACTGTGTGAAGAGGAGTTGTCCTGGCTTGCATTTATATATACAATACAAAATGTATAATATAGTTTATGTATATAAGTAACACATATTCCTTTTTTTTTAAAGGCACATACGTGTGTACATAGGTTGGAATATTATTATTATTGGCAATCACGACATACTACAAGTGGCACAAGTGTTGGTAATGTGAAACACACATGGGTTCTGATGCAACTGTGTGTTGGGCACAAGAGGCAGAGTCAGCGCTGCACTGTGCCCTCTGCTCCAGTGTTCTGTTGTCACCTATGCAGTCTGTGTTTGAGCTACATGCAATTGACTCAAAAAAATATGGCTAAAACACACATAATAATGCTGAAAGTTTATGATTTGATGGGGCCACATTACTGGCTGCCAAAGGCCACACACAGCCCACTGGTTTCAGGTTGGACACACCTAACTAGGAGAGTGGAAGTGGAGGAGACTGCTATAGCCACTCTTTGAGACACTGCTTTCTTGGCATGGCCTTCTTTACTATTAGACAGGAAGCAAATAAGAACATAATGCTGTTCTTCAAGTGCATTTCAGAAACAAGACAAGCTTCCGTAGAGAGGTCCACGCTGGACAAGGAATAGAGGCTGCTGGAATAGTGACGTGCAGTATTTTATACTTAGATACATTTGATTTACTAATCCTCACATACATTCTCTCTGTAATTGTTCATTTCTTCTTCATTAAAATGGTTAGGTTATATTCCTAAGTCACGTTATATATGCACAAAGTTCAGTGATAAAATGACCTATCAGCTCTGTCTCAAAAGTAGCAAAGATTTATGTAAATTTGTTAAATGGGCCTCTTTTCATCTAAAGCTGAAACACAGTTGCATGAGAGATCCAGGTGGATTTGTTCAACAACAGGGAACCTGCCAGGACAGAGTTTATACAGCAGTTACCAATGTGGGGCAGAATTATCTTGATCAATTGTTTCAGAATTTTGTTTCAATATTTTGGCCAGGGCAAAACTACAACCAAATGAAATGAAAATACTCGAGTAGATCAGAATAGAAAAAGAAAGCCAATACTTTCTCCCATTTATCCCACACACACTCATCTTACAGTTTTTTCTTTTCTTTTCTCCATATACCCGATAATAGAAGACTGTGAAACTGAACATTTTGCAGAGTGCCTCGGACAGGTCTCTTCATTTCCATTTCCCTTTGCCTTTCTATGGCTGACACGTATTGTTATTTAAATGAACGCTTTTGAGCTCAGATTTTCTTTTATGCAAATATGAGCTGCTTCCCTCATCAACACATTTGTTTTCCTGTGAAAAGAAGGATAAGGAGAAATATTCTCTAGACAGAAGGTGGTTGGAATGTGATTTTGTTCTGTGAATTTAGCTCAAAAGGGAAGACACACACAATGGTGAAGTATGAAAATATTGGCTAAATTCTTCTTCCGGGATCTGATCATAGCACTGTTATATTTTTTCAAGAACAGCTGAGGTAGGGAAGGTGCCAAGGCACAGCAGACTGGTCTCACTTGCTCAAGGCATTCTCTATGTGACAGTTAAGGGAGTACACAAGTGCCAGACACTACATGCCTCCAGCAATTTTTTCTCTAGTCCTTCCTTATGAAGGCAGTGAATCATTTTAGCTCAAAAATTGGTGTCCTCTCCTATTCAGTTTTTTGAAAGCCATTTACCAGGAAACCATAGATTGAACTTACAGAAGCAAGGAGGTTGTAAGGAGGTAATGCAGAAGAAGGAAAGAAAATGAATTCCTGGCTTCCTTTGAATATACTGCATTCATGTCTTCAAGTTTTTCTTTTACCTATAACATCTAGAGATTTCCTTTTTTAACAAAAGGTGAATGTGAAAATTCCCCAGATGTCAGAAGCCTCCCAGAGCTGGAGCTTTTTGATAAACAAATACTACAAGATAGGCAAAAAAAATCACATCCCACATCTCCAGTGTCAAAAGGGTTGGTAACACCTGAGTGACTTCCATATTTGATCTCTGCCAGACCAAGAGGCACGTGATGTTGAAGCATGTGCACTGTCTCCCTCCTTTTCCCATTGGACAATCACCCATCTTGCAGCAAAAAACACCACAGTCAGTGCCCACTAACACACTTGCCAGCAATATTAGCAAACAGACTTCAGAGGCTGAGCTCCCCATTTAATCACAGAAGTTGTTCTCTTTCAGTGTCAGGAGCTGTTCCAGCCCAAGCTTTCTACGTGTTATTCCTGGACTATTGAAAACTTGAAGTGCTGCTCCCTGTGCAACACCAAATTTATGGATGAGGAAACTTCAGTCTGCCAGGTGATAATTTGGCATCCTTATGTCAGTGTTAAAATCCTAGCAGCTGTAAATATTTATTGCAGATGAAATATACTCATATGCTCCAGCTAGCACATTACCATGTGAATAAATCTAACACTAAATAAATCATCTGCACTTCATCTTTTATTCAGTTTATAAAATTCTTGCTTCTCACTCTGAGCATTCGTAACTTAATAAGGTTATTCAGAAGCAGAGTGATTCGTGGTGTGCCCTGACTTGTTTTATAACACAGCGTTTTGCTTCTTATATTTCACCTCTGACAGCTTTTGCAAAGTTTTGATTTGATAGGATAAGAACAGAGAGGGCATTAGGACCAGGAGAAAGACGCACACATTGCTTTGTATTATGTCTGGCAAAGTGCTTCCTGACTGAGTGCTGGAGCTATGTGTGAAGCAAAGGCAGGGATCGACTAGTTCTCATCTGTTGATCACAGTGAACTTGAAGCCTCAGACGGGGGAAAGCTGTCAGATCTGCTCTCGGAGATAAGGCACATGAAACCAGACAGCTGTGGGAAACTTTGAAGAAGCAGGAAATACTCTGGAAGGAAACTGTTAGAAATGCGATTTCTTTCTACCTAGAATTTAAAAAGGAAAAACCCAAAACTTAAGCTATTCCTTTCATTTGCTTTGCTGACTGAGCCGGGACTCCATAACAACGGACCTACTCCGTCTCACTGGATCCATGCTGCATTTTACCACAGTAAGTGCAATATTAATAGGCGTTTTCTATTTTGTCTGTAAATAGAGAGGAAAGCATGAAACGGCATCAGTGAAATGTGAGGGGAACAAGAAATCCTCTTGGCAGATAGTGAAAACCAGCGCATTGCTGCAACCCGAGGACTGGAATCTGAGCGAGATCCAAGTGATGTTTAACATGACAATCTGTATCATTTTGTCACCAACAGTATGTTCTTGAGGAAGAAATGTAGATATGGATCACGCAAGCTGCAGTTTCTGTTGCTGTTGCTGATGCTGGGCTTTTTGCTGCTGATGGTTACAATGCTGAATCCACCAGCCAGCAACCGGAGCAAGGACGGGACTTTCCAGCCTGTGGAGTTCAACCCTCGGGAAGGGCACCAGGTGGACTTTGCCGAGACCCAGGAGATGCTGGAGACCCAGGAGGAGAGCCAGCAGTACTACCCCATGGACGGGCTGTCACCATTCATCTCCCTGCGGGAGGATGAGTTGATCGCGGCCATCGTGTCCCCCACGGGTCGAAGGAACCACAGCAAGGCCAGGAAAGGCTATCGAATGGTGAAGCAGCAAAGCAGGCGGCCGGAGGCAAAGGAGGGAGACCCCGAGTCCCAGCTCCTGTCCCTGCCTCTGGGGGACGGCAACGGGGCTGCAACGGGCGAGCGGCCGCTCGGCTTGGAAACCCATGGCTTTAACGAAGCGCTCAGCGAGCGGATCTCTCTGCGCAGGGAGCTGCCTGAGGTACGACACCCGTTGTAAGTAACGCAGCCTATTTCACCCCGGGAGAAAACTTCCGTCCTTCCCTATCGCCCTCATCTTCCTCATCAAACCACCTCCTTCGGTATGGGGTAACGCTTTTGTTCACGTTGGTTTCCCACTGGAAACACAAGCCCATCTCCTCAGGGCTAGCTGCGATCCCTGCCTCCCTTCTGCAGCGCCGGCACCGCCGCACCCCTCCGCACCGCTCCGCGCCCCCCGGCCCGGCCGCGGACCCCGAGCTGCAGGCAGGTGCTGCAGGGGCCGGGAGAGATCCCCGCGGGTTTCCCTCTCTATAGGGGAAGGCATAGCGACCCAGCCCTCATGGCGGCCGATGTTCGCCGTTATTTGGGTGCCCGTTATTCGTGTCCCCGTCGTTCCGGTCCCCGCACCCCCGCGCAGCGGTGGTGGCAGCACCGCCCGGCGGAATGCGGGCTGCAGCGCCCCCTGCTGGCGGCCGCGGGGACTGCCGCCGCTGCAGGTGTCGGGGGCGGCTGAGTTCCGGCCGTCCCGGAGGGAGAGGCGGTCCTTTCCCTGCGCTCAGCGCTGCTGAGGCCGCTGATGGGGTCGCTCCAGATCTGCGCCCCTCAGAACAAGAGTGTTGTGGACATACTGGAAAGAGTCCAACACAGGGCCAATAAGGTGATGAAAGCAGCTCTCCTATTAGGGGAGGCCAAGACACCTGGGACTGGGGAAGAGAAGGCTCACAGGGATCTTCTCTGTGTGTACAAATGCCTGAAGGGGGGGTGCAAAGAGAACAGAACTGAGCTCTTCTCAGTGTTGCCCATTGACAAGATGAGGCAAAGGGCACAAACTGGAACAGAGGAGGCTCCATGTGGACATCACCTGACTGAGCACTGGCACAGGCTACCTAGAGGCTGTAGGTCTCCTCCTTGGACATCTCCAAAAGCAATCTGGACACGGGCCTGGGCACCCCGCTCTGGATGTCTCTGCTGGAGTAGGGGTTGGAACATGGACCCAGGGGTCCAGCTTCTGGGAAAAAGGGAACTGCAGGCCAGTGTGTATGACCACGCTTGACAACAGCACTGTGAAGCCACACCATAGACGTATTACATCTGAAATCCTATCTGTTGCATTTGAAATTCAACACGTTGCATTTGAAGCCCAATGTGTTTCATTTGAAGCCCAATGTAATGTGGCTGAAGCCTAGAGACTTGAGTGCCATTTATTTCTACAGCCCATGAGAAACAGTTCATCTCACTTGCTTAAAACAGAGAACCGTCTCTGCTCCCCTGCCTACTAGAGAAGGAATAGGGTGCAGGTGGCTATCTTCATTTCTTGCCTCCTGTAACAAAAGCTACTGCAGCTTTCCCATAGGATACAGTAGAAGATATGCCAAAAACATTTTAAGATATGCCAGAAAACATTTTAAGTTTATTTTTTTCTAGTGGTCATTTCCCATGTATAAAGGCAGCTGGTGGCTCCAATTTCAGGGAACAATCTTAAAGGAAGAAAAATGAAAGATGGTGTGTTTTCTACATTTGCTGACTAGATTCAATGTTAATGTGGGTATTTCCATTGAATAATGATACACTAGTACCATGTAAGTTATTTTTTGCCACGCTTCAGTGGCAGTTCTTTGAACTATGTAGTATTCAAAGGAGGAATGATGACTTTCTTTTACTGCTGGTGATGTGAGCCAAAAAACAGTTTTGGCTGCTGAAGGGCCATCCGACAAGAGGTGGTTTTAGCTAATACTAATCTCACATGGGATTTAGGCCATGGTCTCAGAGTTCTTGGATGGGTTTTCCTGTCTGTCTAGTGAAAACGTATGGACCTATCAACAACACAGCTCATAGAAGCCCGGATTGAAACCACAGATCTGAACATCTGAAGCTTCTCAGTAGTTCAGGTCTAAAACCAGATCATAAACCTGCAGAGGGGGTCTATCTCTAAGCCAGCCCTGTCCTTTATGGACCAACATGCAACCAAAATGATATTTTTTAAACATGATTCACTCTGTGGGCCTAGCTCACAGCTGTGTCAGTCACATTTTATACTGATGTAACATGAGAGTGAAGCAGTAATGAATCAGAACGTCTATTATGTTGTTCTGTTGAAGCCTGTTGCTTGTAATAATGTCTATTGTTGTTTATTAGAGAGAAACCAACCAGTTACAGAAATTTCAGTAAGTCACCTGCATGGACTCAGTCTCTCTCATTTCACTTCAAATGACAAATTCTTCAGACCCAAAGCTATGCCTGCCAATTGTGAAGAACTGCTGTAAAATAAGGCTGACCAGACTTCATATTTACATACTTCCTTTTCACATTTAAAACAGAGTGTGAGATGTAAGGTAAATGCTGTAAGATACACGTAGCTGCTGTTCCTGTTATGTTTTGCATTGGAGCTGCAGAACTGCAGTTTCTTTTTATAAGAAATGACAGAGCTCCAGTGGAAGCAAAGCAGAGCCTGCTGCCTGTGCTTTACTTTGATAGCCCTGGACCCAATTCTTCACCTGGAATGTGATACTTTAGACCTCTCTGCCCAGACCCCAGTTTCTAACATACCCTACATCTCTTTGCATGCCTTTCCAGGTGAATGTTTTGTGCTACTTCTCAGAAAGTAGATGCATAAATCTGTATCTGTTCCAGCACTCCAACTGATGCTACTGATTTATCCAATGGATATCCAATGGATAAATCGATTATCCAATAGATGAATCAGACGCCTTGTTTTCCCAATTTACTGTGAGTAATCATATTCTGTGTGAAAAATGTCAGTTTTCCTCTCCTGAGCTTGAGCATCAAGCTGTATTTATCCAGGCAAATGCAGACACACAAGTATCTAAATGAAATTTAAGTTTCATTACAAAAGCACAGTTCCACTTGAGTGCTGCTGGGAACTGAATCTCAATGAGATGTTTTCCTGCAGGTGAGTGGGAATTGCTGCTGGCAGAGCAGAGCCTTTGCCCCCTCAGAACTGCTCCCCAGTTCCTATCTGCATGTGACAATTCCTTATTTTTCACAAATTGGATTAAATCACTGTGCCTTGTATCAGTCACAGCCCTGACTTTTTGAAATGCTGATTTATGATAGACAGCCTGAAACTGCTCCAAATTACAGGGAAGGCAATTCTGCACACCAGCACCCTTTCTCATTTTTCTGAAGACTAGATATCTACATAGCAAGCCTTTTCCAATCTCCATGGCAACTAAATACTCACCACCTAAGCCACATATTCAAGTACAGTCATTTTCAATTCTCTTCCAATTGAGATTCCGCAAGAGTCTTATTTTATTTTCTCGCTATAATCACAATACTAGCAACGAAGCCTTGCAGTGTTATGGTGGAAAGTATAGGTAGGTATAACTGTACTGAGTATTCCTGGTTAGAAGCTGCCTGGTAGTAAAAGGACTGCATTAGATCTTCACTTTCCTTCATTATCAATAGATTACTCTGCCTAAAAATACAGATACCATCCAGTCACAAGAGCATCCTTTTCTCCGTACTAGTGAAGAATACCAAAAATCTCCCACATACAATTCTGAGAAACACTGTTATTACAGAAGCATAACTATAATATTCATGTATTTTTACTTGCTATTAAATCATTCAGACTGTGGATTCCAATGAATGATAAGCAGGTTTGTATCAGGTATTGTCTAACACGATAGGGTCCAGTACATGAACTGAAGCATTAAGTAAAACAGTAATAAACAGCAATATTCAAATCATATCCCTGACACGAGCATCTGCTACAGTTGAGTTAGCTGAGCAACTAATTGCTTAATAACCACTGTAAAATCTGTGATTTGCTAGGCAGTATGAAAATGCTAAAAGAGCAGTGGAGCAGATAAAAACCAAATAAATGGCTTTCATGAACTGACAGCAGATACAGAGCTGGATCTCTAAGCGGCCTTGGAACCAAGATGACATACCAAGTTAGGTGTAAATATTTTTACATAATTCTGTCATTCCTTCAAGAAGTTCTTGCTGCTAAACAAACTGGAAAAATATATGAGTGCTACTCGGGAATTAAAAAGCTTTTAAATGCATTTTTGAATGTAAGCAAAACAGATATACCGGCATTTGAGAGCTTTTTCTGGAAAATGAATACCCTGCTGCCTGCACGGTGTGTCCTTTGCCTTTTGAACTAAGATGGGCAGATTGAAAAACAGCTTTTGTGGTGAATACAGATTTTTAGTTTCTTTACTTACGTTTATGAAATAGTTTGATAAGGATCTACAGGGTTTTTATATATGGAGTTTCTACAACGATGAACAGAAATGTTTTTGATATTTAAATGCTTGAGATGTCAAAGAACCATTCCATTCACTGCCATTTTGATGATTGTTGTTTTAATGTCATGGGAGACATCTTGGTCCCATGGCAATCTGGGGAGCCATGGGACCACTCTGGCACTCTGTAACCTCTCCGGAAATGTCACACCATGTCCACACAGCCAGGTTTCTTGCAGTAGATTGTAGGGGTACTTGGAGTTGTAAAGGAAACAGCAGAAATGGTCGTGGGGATAATCTGCCTATTTGGGAGCCTCTTTCATCAGTGATGCATTTTCATCAGAAAAAGCAAAGTGTGCAGACTTTGTAGGGAATAGGCATTAACTTTTTAAAATGCATCTGTATTAGTTTACCTAAGTCAGGGTCTGTTTCTTTGCTGTACAGGGATGGCTTCATTCTCTGTAATCTGGGTCAGGCAGTCCGCAGTTACATTGATGAGTTATTTTTTCTTGTTAGTCTTAAAGGTATTGCATTTCAGTTTGCTCTTTTTTGTGTTACATGAGAAAATATGGAAGGGGCGGAGGTTGGCTTTGATCTGTTGTATCACCCTTTCTCCTTTGCTTTACTTGTCTTTTCAATTCCTCTTTCTTTGTCTTCTGTATTTGAGCTCTTTGTTTCTGCTGCAGCCAGAACAGAAGGGAAAGAAAAACAACCAACCAACAGAATACAGCAAAAATTCATATTCATATTTTTAACTTTAATTTTTGTAATGTCATTCTCAAATTTTCACGTCATGTTTCAGTCTTAGACACCTTAATATTTCCTTGGCTTCCTGAGCTGAGATCTTAAACTGCTTTCCATCCTTGAAAATTTAGGTGTAGCCTGCAACTCTGGTCTGAGAAAAGCAGCCAGCTGTACCAGTGTTTCTAGTGTCTCCCTCATTTGATCCCATACAGGTGCCTACAGCAAGAATATGACCCCAGCCTGCCTACTGCTAGTGTCATCATCTGTTTCCATGATGAAGCCTGGTCTACTCTGCTGAGAACAGTGCACAGCATTATTAACACAGCCCCAAAGACCTCCCTCAAGGATATCATCCTAGTAGATGACCTGAGCCAGCAAGGTAATCCCATTTCTCTGTATGATCTCTGCTTTCCAAAGCTGCAAAGAGGAAACTGTCCACCTCCAAGTATTGTATAAAGAGAATGAAAGGCAAATGGGACCCTCAGGGAGAGAGCCTTGAGCTGGCTGCCAGGTTTCAATCTTCCATCTCTAGAATTCAACTTAGCCTTTCAACTTTGAAATATGTTTCTTTTCTTCCCCATCACTTTCAATCACTCTGAGCTTTCTTGCTTTAAAATAAGATCACAGTATGCAAATCTTCCCACTGGACCAGATCTGGTATAATAATTTCCAGACGTGGACTTTGGATGAAGTGAGGAGTGGAAAACTCCACATTGCTAAAGTAATCCCAAGTCCTTGGGAAAGCCAAACACCTGTATCTCATGCTGATCTGTGTCTTTTATGAGAGGATGAGAACATCTACCTTTTGGTGAAAACAGGAGAGGGGGATATTAAGTTTCTCATAGGAACAGCTTCACACCTAGTGAATCTCAGTTTCCATTAGTCTCTACTGCTCTTTGACATTACACTGCTGTGGGAATATTTGGAACTTGGTCTGCACAGCCATGTAGAACAAACGCTCCCAGAACATTTTACTGGCAAGCAAGCAACATCTCCTGCTACCTGTTGCTTTCTAGTAAGAACCTGAATCAAAGCTAAAATGACCGTTCTGTTTATGACAGGGCCCCTGAAGTCAGCCCTGAGTGAATACATCTCGAAGCTGGATGGCGTGAAGCTGATCCGGAGCAACAAGAGGCTTGGAGTCATCCGAGGTCGGATGCTAGGAGCTGCACGGGCAACTGGAGATGTGCTCGTCTTCATGGATTCACACTGCGAGTGTCAGAAGGGCTGGCTGGAGCCACTCCTGGCAAGGCTGTCCAGCAACCGGTAAATACAGAACCACAGAATCATAGAATGGTTTGTGTTGGAAGGGAGCCTTAAAGATCATCGTGTCCAACCCCAATATCTTCATGACTTCTCAGCTCCCTGAATGTGCTAATTCCTGCTGGAAGAGATGCCCGTGGAAAGATTTTGGTTTATTTATTTATTTATTTTAATCCTTGCTTGGTTGTTTCCTTTGTGCAGGTCACATTGCTTTAATGTTCTGCTCTCACACCATATGCGTTACCATGGTATGTGGGAAACAAGATAGGGCATGCAGCTGATAACCTCGCTTCATACCCGATATCACTAAACTGGCATTTTTCATCCAGCCCTCGTTAGAGCTATGACAAGGCTTCCCAGTGGTCTGAATTAAAAAGATTGCAATCCATTATTTTTACTTTTTAGATGTCTTAGTTATGAAGCTGAAGATAAAAAGGGATGATTACCTTAACCACTTTGGTTTCCTGAGCTGCTGGGTTACAAACCAATGTCAGCTGTACCATCTCTGTTCCACAGAAAAACAGATTTTCCACACAGCTTAGACAGTTCTAGCTAAACTCACGCAGGAAGATACAGATTTGTATTTTCAGAGTGTTATAAGTCTAGGTTGGTGCTTGCGCCTAACCTTTAATTACAGCAGAGCTCTTTTTTGCAGTCCTTGAGTTCCTCAAGGACATTAAGGAAGTCAATTCATTATTTTTCCTAAATTGCTTGTAATGCTTGCATGGAGATCATTCATCAAATTGGCTTCATTGAGCAGTTGAGGAGCTGTTAAATTCAATAATATCCACTGCCTAAGACAGCCCAAATGAGGAAAACACAGTGACAAAATAGCTTAGAGTAACTAGTGAAATACCCCTCATTCTTCCTCTGGCTGCACCAGTCAAGCTGCTATCCACGTGCTTTTGCATGGATGGGAAAACACTCAATCACGTAAAGCAAGTGAATTTTCAGCTGGCAAGGAAAAATGCAGCCTTTCCAAAATCAGTCCTCTGCAGAAGTTTAAAGGAGCTGAGAGAGAGATTTTAACTTTGAAAACTGATCAAGCCCAATTTTCTACACTCCTGAGCAGATCTACCACTGTCATTATGACCTTAGCAATGCAGAGATCTTTACATGAACAGAGAACTCACTCTGAGTTGAACATATTCACGGAAAGGGAGATATCCCCAGTTCTGATTAACCTGTGACAGACAAGACAAACATGAGAAATGTTACCCAATTTTACAGGAACAGACAGATTTCTCAAATATTTGACTGCTCTGTGTGATCGCATTTCATTTCCCAGCGTGGTGTTTTTATTCATTAACCCCAAATGTATTAAGCCTTTCCAAAGTCAGTACATGTGCATTTATGGGCACCTTGACTGGGACCAGTTCTTTGAACCATACCAAACAAATTGACTGGGATGCTGTGCATCAGCTTAGTGCACCACCTCAAGAACGGTTCAGTGATTTGCAAAGCATTCCTTGACATTTGATTATTCAAGGATGAATACCAAAGCCACCTGAACAGCATTAAAAAACTAGATGAGACACCCCACAGATCATTTCACTTGACAACTGTTTATATTCCAGCCTAATTCCAGGTGAGTAGCATGGTGCATAGTAGTGCAGCTGTGCAATTATTACAATCATCTTTTTGGGTTGTGCCTTTTCCAGAAGACTGCAGGATACAACTGCTATATTGTATTTAGTCCAGAGGCACTGAAAGGCAGAGGGGAGCATATGCTCATTTGTGCCTGAAGCCTTGAAAAGGTTGCTGCTTTAACCTAAAAACAGTGACCATCGTGCCAAAGCACATGGCTCCTTTCTTGCAGAAGGGTGATACAAAAAAAAAAAAAATACAAGTTCAAATTGTGGTTCCTGGCAATATTGCACGGAAACAAAATAAGCCTTGATTACATTCTCAAAAAGGAATTCCACCTCTAGAAAAAGCGTAAGTGCCATAACATTGTCAGAGGGCGATGGCTTGCAGAGGGTTGGCTTGTCCTCAGGACCTTTCCCCTGCTCCTCACTGCAATAGCTATTTGCCTCTGTGCTGGTGCACTGACTACAGCACAGCTCAAATACTGCTAGGAAACTGAAGCCTGCAATATCAAAAGAAGCCTTTCTGGTTTCTAAAATTCAAAGTGTCTCTACTTGGCTCCTGATTCTAGGTCACTAATTTTTAATGAAATTATGTTAAACAGAATAAGAAATGAACACAGCAATGGAGAGATACTTCATTAGCCTTGGACTCAAGCAGAGCCTCTGTTTGTAGATACAGAAATAGATAGAGTTGTATTGCTCAAAAAATTACTGAGTGGAGCTGGTTTTATGGCACTACACTAGGGAGATGGAAAATATTTTGCAATGAACAGTTCCTTCATCTTTTTTCATCCAGCCCTCTGTTTTTTCTGTGGACCATCTCTCAGCTTTTCAAGCTATCAAACACATAAGTCATCTGTTTTCAACCATCTCACCGGCTCAGAGAAGTATGAATTTGTCCAGCCAGAGGACACACAACCCCATCATGAATTTCAGCATGCATTTCCATGCTATTTTTCTTGGTTTTGAAAACCAACATCACGTACAGCAGCCTGGTCCCTGGGAATTCATAGAATCGTAGAATCACCGAGGCTGGTAAAGACCTCTAAGATCATTTAGTCCAACCATCAATTTGCTTTAGGCCTGATCTTTTTATAGCTTCTATTCGTCAATAACACTAATTTCACTTACATGGCGTGTTATCTGAAGATGTGCTATCTCCTTACAATCTTTCACAGTGCTGATCAGTATCAGCAGGCGACCTATTTTAAAGATGAGGTAAAGAAACTTGAATCTAAAGCCAAAAGCAATCAGTTTTGCCAAAAGTAGAAGAAAGGAGGATTTAGGTATGATTCAATCAGATTAAAATCTTTCCTTTCCTAACAAAAATTAAGAAAAGATAAATCACTAAAAAGTACTTTCAAAATATCATGTCTACAACTTCAAAACAAAAATGTTAATTAACTCTTCCTCTTCACGTGTTACTCTAAAAATAGAAAAGAACACACTGTCCATGCTGACTGCAAGGGTCATGAGAAGATATTTCATTCACAATTGTATTCTGTTGAGAAATCCCAAACTAGGAAATAGTTGTTGCTCGGGTTGCTCTTTTGATGGAATTGTGACCTTTTGTAGATCCTGTGTGTTCCAAGCATTTGAAATATTCGCAAATCAGTACCACCACAGTCAAATGGTTCTTGCCTTGCTGCTGGTTATATTTGAGTTTCCTGTTTTTTTTCCTTTCCTTGAATTCCAACGAGTGAAATTAGCTGGAATTTGCCAGTATGTTTTTCGCTTCAAAGCACCGAAAAGCTGCTGACTGTCTGCCAATTATTCAGTTAAAAACAAGAAGAATAGCTAAGAACATCTCCCAGCTTTCAATTACCTTCTGCTGCAAATTTGCATTTAGACCCACACAAAGATTGAACCATCACTGAATATGCAGAAAACATATTAAAAAGGCTTTTCTATACAAAGCCTTGTTACCAAATGTTATGTAAAGCACTGCTTGATTAAGATTACACTGAACAGTGTCCGGTTTTCACAAAAGTTACTGGATTCCGCTATTTCAGATTACAAAGACACCCTCAATATTTAAGTTCTAAGGAGGTGTGGCTTTATTGGTTTCAGCAGAGCTACAGTAGTTTATACTAGGTAAGGATTTAGCATTACACTTAGAAACACTCTCTTGAGAAAGCTTTATCATGGCATGCTGAACAAATTACTGGAGTAATAGCTTTAAAACACAGTAATCAATTTACATGTGTAATTTTGTGGTAAAGGATATTTGATTTCATTTTGTTCTGTTTCATTTTTTAATTTAGCCAGGTTAGAATATGGCTCATCCAGTGAGTTTTTTTTTTTTTCTCAGCTGACTTAAAAATTGTAATTTTCTGTATCATAATTTGTATTTAGTTTGGGTTATTGCCTGTTCTCCTAACCATCAGAACCATGACATCAGGGCAGGTATTTTTCTTAAATAACATGGAATTGTCATGCTCAATAACAAGCAAAGTAAAATGCATTAAAAAACAAAGGTTATTTCAGCAGGAACTAGTACTGCAGTGGCTATTTATATGAGCAACTGCACTGGTGCTAGGAGTGTCTTTGGAATCTGGAGTTTTATAGCGGTAACAAATTTAAGGCAGATCCACAAAGAAGAACAGGTTTAAATTGGTTGGATATGAAAATGGCAACTCATTTGAAATGTCTGGATTGTCTGATCCAGAATATATCTAAGCATAACTTTGAGTATCCACGCTGTTTGCATCTGAGCTATGCTGCATATACACATACGGTCTAACCTTCATGACCGGGGTTTTTTGAATGGTTCAGCCTACTCTGCCTCCCCTGGCTTCCACCCAGGCATGCCCCCCTGGTCTTCCCCTTCTGACCCTGAAACTTTGAAATAAAAGAACCCAGAATCATCAGTTCCTTTCTAGATGAGAATGGAGACACAAGCAGCGATAGCATGCATTTCAGCAGGTAGCACTGAACAGGTGGGAAGTATCCACCTCCAGGTGCTCTGCTAACCTGACAGTTGTCAGTGATGTCTACAGTGAAGAATGCAGCAGGATGTAGAAATTACAATTATAGTGATTTTTCATTTTTTGAAGCTTAGTCTTATAACACCCATTTAATCTGCTGGCTGGATTTTTCCCAGCATGTCAAATTAAAAAACACCTGCTTGTGTAAGTCCACCAGAGCACTACCTTTCAGTAACTTTTAGAAGAAGTCAGTTTCCTTCTTGTACTGTTAGTGAGTAAAGGTTAAATACCGTTTTCCATTATAAAGCTAACTCCTGTCAGCTTGAGTTTGAGGATGTTGCTCATGTCCTGGCTACAAAACTGTACCACCATGCTTTCATCAAGAGAATCGAGGGAGGATAGCAGCTTTATTATTTTTAGGATCATTTATTTGAGTCCTGCAGAAGAAAGGCAGCAAATCACTGCCTACAAATGTTGCCTAAAGGTGACCATAAAATTGTTTTATTTATAAACACAGTGCCTGTTTCCAAGAGCACCTATTATAATATATTACAAAGGCTGGTTTTATACCTGAATGGAGAGATATGATATTTCTCTGTTTTAAAGCCTTCTGCCTTTAGCTCATCATAGGGCAGTTTGCTCTTATTAGGAAACAATGAAATAACTGAATCATTTTGATGCTATTGTCTGCATAGTACATTTTCACACAATTCACTGAAGATCAGTAATCTCTTTTTCTCTGTGGGGTTCTAAAATTATCTACAGTAAATGGCAACTGTGATAAAAGAGAATATTGAGCTTCCCCAATCCTGTCACAGAAAACAACATTACAATAGAGATTGTAAAGGCAGGGCAGATTGTTAGGACTACATGACCATCACCAAGAGCTGCCATCTTCCTCAGCTTTCTGGTCTCTGCCATTGGAAAGAAATAAAAAGAATGGCTCACTGCACTGAAGATGTCTGAGGTGACTTTCCTCCATTGACTACAGTATGTTTTTTTTTATATCTTAATCCCTAGTAAATCTGTTTACAAGGGTGGATAGTGGTAGGACGAGGGGAATGGTTTTAAACTGAGACAGGGGATGTTTAGGTTGGATATTAGGAGGAAGTTTATCACACAGAGGGTGGTGACACACTGGAACAGGTTGCCCTAGGAAGCAGTGGATGCCCCATCCCTGGAGGCATTCAAGGCCAGGCTGGATGTGGCTTTGGGCAGCCTGGGCTGGTGGTTGGTGACCCTGCACATGGCAGGGGGGTTGAAAGTCAATGATCATTGTGGTTCTTTTCAACACAGGCCATTCTACGATTCTATGATTCTATGATTCTAAATGTTAATTACATTTCCTATAGAACACCTTCTAGGCAAGCCCTTACACTAAGACCAGGAGCTATACTTTCTGTGTAAAGGAGCAGAAGTGGATACTGTTGTTCTTCACTATATTTTTTCCTGCAGTCCCTACCACCACTGTATTTGTACTCTGAAAATTTCCAAATGTGATACATCACTGACCTGGAAACAAGGCATACTGATGGCTTTTCCAAATTGCCAGTACATTCCAGGATAATGCACACTGTGAAAAGTCACGACAAGTCTACTATGGGGACATGTCTAATACCTCATCTCTAACTAACCCAAATTTAACCTGAGGTAGAAATCAATTGGAGGATTGCTGCTCACAGCACAGTGCCTCTTAAAAGTCAATTTCTCACAGAGACAGTGAAAGCACATTGAGGATGTAGTAGAAGACTACACAAAAAGAAAATGTTTCACAAAACCAGTGATAGAAGTTCATTCAAAAAAAACCAAGCAGAACAAAATAAGTGAAACCGCATATTTCATTGGCCTGAAGTGACAAACTCATGAAGTGTGTGGAACATTTAGAGAAAAATGAAAGGATGGTAAAGCCTATGAGACCAAAATCATCTTTCAGTATAAATTCTGCATCCATAACTTCAAATGTGGAAACCTCTGTGAAACTGGCTTTATAAGAATTCCGATGGTGAACACATAGCAAAATCCTGAGTAGTTTTAGAATGATAGTGCAATGTATAGGTTATCCATAAATTAGTGATCTTCAGAATCATTACTTCAGGCTCAGTATTACCATGCATGGAGCATCTGAGCTCTATCAGGAGGGAAAATGAGGGCACTCAACATCCAGAGGAGTGCTTGGTGCTTTACAGGGTCATCAAGGAGGTCCACTGTTCACTAACACAGTAGTGAAATCATTATTCAGCTTTAAAAAGAAATTATATTGTCTTTTTCAGAAACAGTGTCGTCTCCCCTGTCATAGATGTCATAGACTGGAAGACTTTTCAGTACTATCACTCTGTGAGCCTGCATCGAGGTGTTTTTGATTGGAAACTAGATTTTCACTGGGAACCAGTGCCAGAGCATGAAGAGAAGGTACGACAGTCTCCCACCAGCCCTATCAGGTAACAGTTCATAAGCCAATATGCCTCCACTCACCTCAACAGAACAATTTGGGCACTCTTCCAGCTAATAAAAGAGAGACATAGTTACTTGCATTTGCTTGGTTGATGTTTTTTGAAGGGGGTGGCTTTTTGGCTTAGATTAAGATTGTTTGGGCTTTAACATTCATTCTAAGTAGATTGCAGTTCTGCTTTTAACATGACAAATATCTTACACACAACTAGAAGCAACTTCTCTACAGCTTGACCAGACAAGGTATTGAGGTTTGTTGGGAAAGCAAATGATAGACTATGTAGAGTTAAAAGTCTTAATCATTATGTCTATCTGTAGTTTTGAATGTATTTATACTTTACACTTCTTACTGTTCTGAGCCTGATTCAACAGTTCAGAGCTTGGCTCTCTTCCCTAGGTAAATCCTAGAATTCAATTCCAGTTGTTCTTTGATAATAAGTTAATATGAGATTATAAGGACTAATATTTGATAATTTTTGATATTATCTCCTCCACAGAAATGGTGGGGTTTTCATCCTTCCTATAATTCTCTGTCCAAAACAGTTGTTCACTTCCAAACTACTGTCTATACAGGAGTCCTGCAGTAGCTGGTGCAGTAGTTGCCATGGATCGACATTACTTCCAAAACATTGGAGCTTATGATTCTGACATGACCATGTGGGGAGCGGAAAATCTAGAGCTGTCTATAAGGGTAAGAACCTTAATTAAAACACCAAGTGCTGGAAACTACTGGGTTTTGAAGGGATCTGAATGAAAAGGCAAGAAGTGATTTATAAAAGCAATGAAGTGTAGAACTCCTTGACGTATGGCAAATATCACTATACTTTCAGAATTCTACCTCATGCTCTGTGATCTGTCAGGACTGTACAAGAATATGCAGATGCTGTGAGTTAGGAGCATTATGTCAGGAGAAGGAAGTTTCACTATCACTGTTTGCCAGAGGTCAGAGTCACTGGTTTAGCTACCTTCTGAGAGCTGCCTCTTCTATTTTGGCATGCACCAAATGAAAAATTGCTTTTATTTCTTTGTCATCTACTTTAAATATCAAATTGTTTATGTTACATTATGTGCATTAGCTTTTGCTGAATATGAAGAGATATAATTGATATTAAATAGCAACAAAAAATTGCAGACACAAAGCATAGAGTCTTTAAAGTCCAAGGCAAAAGAAGGCATGCCCGCAAGTCTCTTCATTACACTGCACTGTCTGTGTACAGGAAAACATAAAAGCATATAAATGGTTACACAGCATCAAATCAAAGGTCTGTCTTGCACAGTATCTTCTCTGTGTCTCCATGTCTGTGGGGAGCAGTGTATGAAGAAGCACATCATGTTCTTTCTGTTTCCAGGAATACACAGACTAGGATGTCCTGAGGGGAATCTATAGTAAAGGAGCTTCTTCTATTCAGATGCTTTAGAAATTTTGACAATTAACATTCAGCCACTGCCCAGAGTAAGCTTTAACTCAATGAGTGACTCTGGCTTTGCATTCTCACTATTACTGGTCTGTAAAGCCACCTGTGCTTTACTAGCTACATAGAAGATAATCTCTTTTTGCACCTTCACCTGTTTTTCAGACCTGGCTCTGTGGTGGCTCTGTAGAAATCATTCCATGCTCCCGTGTTGGGCACGTCTATCGAAATCATATTCCCCATGCTTTCTCCTATGAAGAGGCCATTGTGAGGAACAAAATCCGAATAGCAGAGACTTGGCTGGGTTCTTTCAAAGAGAACTTCTACAAGAATGACACAGTGGCTTTCCTAATCAGCAAGGTAAAGACATCTGCAGTGGTCTGTTTCTGAGGGAAGGACTGTGTGTTGCAGTAGGTGACGGCGGTGGGATGGTAGTGTGGGTGTCTGTGTACAGTCAAACATTCAGTAGGCTTGGCACCAGGTAGAATTTTTCATTTTTATAAAACCTGCTGGTGGAAGAGCCTTTAGATCAGGGAAAAGAGAAGCCTGAGTTTTTTTGCTGAAGTTGTCAAATATCTTAAGAGTATAATTCTGTCTCCAAATGACTCCTTCTTCAGGCTGCCCAGCAAGCTGTGGTTTGGTTTTCCGCCAGTGACAGCATATTTGATAACAGTCATCGGAAGTGTAGCCTAGCTGCACTGTGTGCTTGAAAGATCTTTTTGAAGGATTCATTCTTCATTGCTGAAGGCATCTAGTATGTGATTCAAGTAATATTCACTGGCATGTAGCAAACTGTGGTCCTACTCTAAGATAATACATCTGAGTGCTCTAGTGACTGAGAAAAGTTGATTTCTTCCCAAGCTGACAGAAGCAATTGTCTGTAACTGAGGAAGTTAGATCTCACCATTAGTATTTTTTCAAGTTACTTTATCATTAGAAGCATCACAGAGCCAGCAGTGCAGCCTCCAGAGATTTGGGTTCCCAATAGCCTGGCATGCAGCCACACTTGAACCACATACCAACTACATACCACCTAACAACGACAGAAAGGCCATGCTTGCTTTTAAGCCACTGTGTGATCCACTGCAGATCATGGTCAATCAGGGGACTGCATATGCCTTGTATCACAAACTGCTGGATGCTGTATTAGGAGCTATGGCAGTAAAGCTGTTAATGTTGCAGCAGTTTTCCGGAATGGAAAATGGCTCCCAAACCTTTTCTGGTACTGGTATCCTCGTCTACAAGGAAATGGACAAACTTGTGAGCAGTTCGGAATAATAATTTTTAAAAAGTGTCTCAAGTTCATTGAGCAATGCCATGCTTTTCAGGAGAAGATCCCCTGAAAACACCTGGGCACAGCACGGGTCAGTGCCATGCAATGTATCCCAGGAAGTTTCCCATTCAGTTTCACTCTGCACTGCAGCCCTTCATGTCTTTGCTGCAGATCCAGCAGTGGCCGCATCACAGTGGGGAGAGGAAAAAAGCCACGTGCCAGTGGGACTCTTCTCCTGCCAACTAGTGTGACTTCCTAAGGCTCCACCAGTGGGTCTAGCCCTCCAGCCTGGCTCCTGTGCTCATGCTTGAGCCCGAGACACACATTCCATTTTTAATTCTGTTTTCACTTTTTAAAAAGGCTTCTCCCTCTGTGTCTGTGCATTAGTTTTTAACTCCACTGTCCAGAGTTTCATCATCTGACCCACAAGGCTTAAAGCCATGTAATAGAAAGGAGGATGGTAAGCCAGGTCTTTTAAGATGATGTTTATCATTTAATTATTTCCTGAAAGCCATTCTTGCCAACTCAGAAGCAATTTTCTGAGCTAAAGACTACAGCCACCAATTATTTCATTTACTACCTATGAACACCATAACCTTTTGCCTGAGAGTTTATTCTAGCCAGGGTACTTTCAGCACTCCTAAGTAAGATGCTCCTTCAAATGACCAATGGTATGATCTCGATGTTCAGAATACCAGAACATAAAAGGCCTTTTTCTCCATTCCTTTCCTTCATAGTCAATACCATCAGTCTGTCAGTTCAGCAAGATGCTGTTTAAGACACAAGCAAGCAGTGACATTACTGCTACTCTGCTGCCAGGGCTGCAGAGAGCTCTGAGGGACTGATGCACAGCTGATGCAAGGCTGAGCGGAGCCAACTATGGGCCACTGTGAGCCTTGAAAACAGAACTGCCCAACACTGGAAATAAAAAATGAGCCCCATTTAGACAGCTTTATAAGTCTTCCCATTTTATGGTCAAAATCACATCTTGCACAGGTTGCCTGTGGTGTGAGCATTAATACAGATGAATAAGGCTCTCTGCAGCTCTCCATGGTTTCAGCCACTGTCTCTTTTTCTCTTTTTTTTCTGTGTTTCATTTATTTACAAGTACAGTTTCCTTTCAGATTGGTTCACAGGGCTAATGAGTCTCTCTAGATTATTTACACCACTTATTCAGCATCAAATGCACACTGTAACTAGCATAACAAAATGAGATTATCTGTCACCACTTTCTTCAGCTAAAGCAGCCTCTGGAGAAACATCTCTTTTTAGAGGAAGCATTTTATTCCTCTATTTCCTTCTATATTCCTCTAGTTCCTGTTACAAGGAAACCTCTTGGTGGCAGGTTTGTGAGGTGCTGAATTGCTGAACTTTGTTGTTTTGCTTATTGAATGTAGGGCCGACATTAAATGATGAGGTTCTCCTTAGCATATTGCAACTGTTGAGATTTGCTGGTGCAGCTTACATGGGCTGGCATGATTGATACACACCTGTAAAAACTGATGCTTCTCTCTTCATCTCCAAGGCCTTTTGTTTGTTGCTGATTTTCAAGCGTGTGGGCAAAGGTATTTTTACTTCCTTAAGGTTGCTGAGAAATGGCTGAGCTAAGGATGACAAGTAATTCTTTTCTTACCTTAACAATTCTAATTTTGACATAGGAATCCCACTGCTGTCCTGCAATCTCAAATTACATTTCCCAAATGTAAAAATGTGAAAGGGGAAATCTACTGCTGGCAAGAAAGAGGAGAAAAGACTCTTAAAGGTGGCAGGACTTATTGTAGTATTCAGGTGCCGAGAGATTTAGAAAAGTGTTTTGTGTGCTTTCATATCTACAGTTTAGACACTGACCTGCTTAGGAGGTTTTTGTAATCCTGTTTGTCATCTTCAGGTCTAAATACCCTCAGATACTCAGACCCTCAGTCCCTCGCAGTGACGATGCCCGTAGCTGCAGCAAGGGTTGACAGTAGCTGTCTTTTTTCAGAACAAAGTTACTACTAGGATTGTGTGCATGCAACTTAAGAAAATACATACATCTGGAAAGTTTTTATGCCTTTACAGTCACAAAACACATTTACCAACTCAATTTAGCAATCGCCAGACAATTATTTGATTCGTTTCATGTTACACCAAATTCTACCCTTAAATTCTCTGATAACAGAGGACTGACACTTTTTTTTTTTTTAATTTTGGGGTAAATTCTGTACTGAATGCAATCTTAATATCCCTGATTTCAGTGCAAACAGTATCAAACTTGGCCCAGAGATTTCTAATTAAAAAGATGATGAAGTCTGATGTATCTTGCAGGATAACAACAATTTTAAAAGAAATACCTGTTTTCACAGCATGTGCTACTTCTGAAACACAAAGCTGGAGAAAGAGTACAGCTGGTTTTCCACTTTTGCCTAATCTTGAGAGATATGTATCATGTAGGATAGAAGAAGTGGCAGAAATAACTGCTACACAGTCATTTTCATTTCTAGCAAACAGAGCAATATCCTTTTTTGCCCTGTGCTTTCTCCATGAAGGCAGAGAAACCGGACTGCAGTGAGCGTCTTCAGCTACAGAAGAGACTGGGCTGTAGAAGTTTCCAGTGGTTTATAACAAATGTGTACCCTGAGCTCTCCCAGCCTGAAGACACACCAAGATTATCTGGCAAGGTAAGAGAAAATGTACAGGAAAAAGGATTTTTCCATTGAAGACCTGAGTGTCACTTGGATGTACCAGTTAGTACTTGGTACTCAATATCTGTGTTGAGAGGCTACTCCCACTTTGAAAAGCTTGCAGAAGAATGGAAGAAGCAGCAAAAGGACTGAAGAGAACAGCCAGTCCAAATTCTCACATGAACCTTGAACACCAGCCAAGAGATGAGCTCACCCTTTATACTTTGGTGTCACAGATCAGAGGATCCTAAACTTAGATTCTTTAGGTATCATTAAAAAACAGAAAAGAACTGTGTTGCTCCATTCAGATGGTAACTGCAACAGTATCTGGGATTCATCTATGCTGATCCACGTGTATGAAGGAAAAGAAGCATTTCCCCAGTGCTGCATTTCCCCCATAGACAGAGGTGATAGCGATAGCAGTTCCTTTGCAGATTGTGCACAGGATGTGATGCTAATCTTTTAAAAATCATTAAAATATGGATTTATTCCAGGAACCTCTATGGACAGGATTTCCCCTCGACAAGGCAACGGGTCTACTTATTAAATCACACACTGATATCTGTAGACAAATTTTACTACATCCTTCTACTGTTTCGTCTGTTCCTTATCATCAAGGCTTGCTTGAGAAAAGCATAACTAACTGTGGATCACAGGAAATGCTTTTTCCCTCTGGAATATCTGTATTTTTGCCAAATACCAGCAGGTCGAAGGGCAATTTTCCATTAGTAAAAAAGTAGTTTTGACAGACTTCTTTTAAGCATCATAATAGTTAAAACCAGAAGTGGGTATCTCTAACTTAAAGCTTATTAGGTAACCTTTGGTGAGACTCTCCCTTGTTATCAGATCACTTTGCAAGATTAACATGTAAGATTTAGCCCGAAAGAAAAAAAATGCTGCCTGAATTACATGCAAAATCATATATGATAAGGGAATGTAATCATAAAAAAAAGCTAGCTGAAGGATATTTTCTTGATATCTGTGCTTTATTTCAGTAAAAATCTTTCTTTACAGCTTTACAATACTGGTGCTGGCTTCTGTGCAGATTACAGACCTGGAAGGGCTTTGGCAGATGGTTCTATCAAACTCTCTCCTTGCAGTAACAGCCTCACCCAGGTACTGTAGATTTTACATAAAGAAGTACTGCATTGGACTTAGGGAACTGTTCAGAAGATATTCATGTAAACATTTGGGTTGACGTGCTTGAAAATAATGTGTTCAAAATTAGGTGTGTGCTAAGGCACTGATCCACACCTTTCTGTAGCTGAGCATCATTTCAGAAATGGCAGTATTCCATGCCTGAGACCAGATCCCCACACTTTGTTCCAGCACACGTTGTTTCATGTAGTTGTAGTAGTTATTTTGTGGAACCTGGACAAAAGAATGCCTAGGCATAAAAGCTGTGCATCAATTTTGGAATAGAGGTGGGTTTTCCCATATTCTAGTGACCAAAACACTGCCTAAAAAACAGGAGGGAAATCTGTTTAGACTGTCCAGGTGGCATTAGACTAGCAAGTCCTTGCACTGAGAGAAGCCAAACCAGTACAGACTGACTGCAGATATTCACTCCAAGTCCCAATGAAGTTTCACTGCTCACAGTGAGCTCAGGGTGAGCTGCAGGCACATTTTTAACTGTAATGTGTACAGACACTTTAGAAACACCCTTCTGTTCAAATTTATTAAGGTAGAAAGATTTCTTGTAGAATGGGTTTACTTTGTATGTAATCACAGTCCACAAAGTCTTTCCTCAGAAAAATAGACTCAGGCAAGTAGCTATGCCAAAATTATTCTGGGGGAGATTGCCTCATTGATTCTCCTTCATTCATGTTTGGGTGGCATCTAAGAGGAGTGGGAAAATTAATGTTGGAGTGAACATTTAAAATGAACTGGGTTGCCATTCCATCACTGTTCAAATAAACCCTCCTTTCTTCCAGCACTTTGAATATAACAGCATGAAGGAAATCCGTCTTGGGTCTGTTCCACTGTTTTGCCTTGATGTCAGACACGGGAAGGTTATCCCTCAAAACTGCACAAAGGAAACAGATAACAGTGAGCAGCACTGGGACGTCCAGGAGGTGGGTACTGACTGCTGAAAGGGGATGACTGCACATGGCAACTGTGTAACTGTAACTGTGTAACGTTGGGTAACTGACATGATTCGTGTGCAGGGAGGGATGATATAGCTGAAGGGCAATTTTCACTGCTGTACTATTTTCATCCAGGAAATTTAGGAGGCTGTTAATCTGTTTACACTGCCTGTGCTAAATAAATCTGGTTTGAAAACACAAATTACCGAAATCCTACCTACATTCACATACCCTTATTTTAACTATTTAACTTACTGGCTTTATAGGAATACAATCAGAAGCTAGGTTGTGAACATAAGAGCAGGATAAATCTTTGCCCACTTCTTTAGATAGGGGAAGGCACTGTGAATCCCAAGTTATTCCAAATAAGAGCCCAGTGGAAGTAGGGAAATGTCAAAAATCCTCCTGTGTTGTCGGAGGACAAAACTCTTATAAAAACAGCTCAGTATTACTTAGACCTCATCCATCAGAATAAGAACTCCTCACAAGATTGAAAAATGTCATGCTTGAGGACAGCCTGAGAAAACAGAAGTCAGTGTAGCTGTAGGGATGCTGCAATCCTCAGGTGTAATACCTGCTGTAATTTGTTTTGATTCCTAAGAGAAGGACTGGTCCTTTTCAAATTTTGTGGTCTCTAATACTGAAGTTGATGCTGATGATATTTACCCATAGAAAAACAAAACAGTGGTGGGAAAGAGATTTAGAGAGTTCTGCATTTGTGAATCCTGTCAGCTTCCAAAGAAGCTGTGTTCTCACAATGCCTTGGACTCAAAGCTAAACCTAGTGATCATGTTTAGAGCAATACTAACATATTTTTGAACAATGTCATTACCGATTACCTATTATACATTAAAAACTCAGAAACATTGCCTAGTTTTTACTGGAAATCTCTTATTTTTTCATTTGTTCTTTCTTCCCCTTCTCCTCTCATATTTTAGAATGGAGTAATTGTCCATGTCCTTTCTGGCAAATGCATAGAAGCAGTGAAGAGTGAAGATGAGAAGGACTTGTTTTTGTCCTTATGTAACAAGAACACAAATCAGCTGTGGCAATTTGAACATTCCCAAGGGCTACATCAGAGATAACTGCCAGGTCTGTGGGAAGATCAAGTCTCCAAAATCTAGCATTATTTCTCCTTTGGATTCAAGATATGAGCGTTTACTACAAGGAAAAGGAAGATGTTTGTGTTTGCTGTAGTATACAAGGAAGCTAGGAAGGCCCTCCCTCAAAAGCCTGGCTCAAACAGTTGCTGCTGGTTCCTGGCTTTTCAGCTCTAGCTAAAATTTCCATTATTCTGTATAAAAGGAATAAAGACACTGTGAGCATCAATAGGTTCTCAACTCTGCTACTGCAGAAAACAGTTCAGTTTACCATTTGAAGGAAATGTGTGAAACTGGCTGCCAGACAGCTTGTCTTCCAGCCTGTTCTGTGACATCTGAGGATACAGGAAAATGAATGTTAGGAAAACACTTGAAACTGTAAGAGGACATCAGCCAAACAGGAGGGGAATTTAATCCAGTTGTACAGTGCACTCGACTCATATGAAACAAAGTAAGTTTTATATGTATTAAAGTAGTAGATGCTTTCATGTGTAATAGCTAAAATGTTGTTTTCCAGCCTGAGCCAGATTTCTATCACCCGTAAGACAGCACAATTCATAAATTAGTACTTAATTAGGCACTAACTGCTTTAATTGCTTTGGAATACCAACAGTCCGCAGAGTTTGGCACACTCTTCCTCATATCCTTCTTCCAGAGTCTAACTGGATGGGATAATGAGACTGAATTATTAACAACTTTTTTGTTTCAGTTTTCATGAAAACTAAGAACAACTTTTAGAAAAACTTTTGTGGAATACAGAAGAAAATTGAAGTAGATTTGAGAGTAGACTGGCAGCTCCCCTGCTTATTGTGAAACTGAAAGTATCGGTGACATTCATTTGTTCTTATAAAGCTTTGGGATGAGCTCATTATTACTGCAGTGACAAAAGTGCTGGTTGGAAAAAGCAAAAGAAAAGAAATGACAGGTTTCAACACTGGCTATCTAGAAAGAATATACTGATATACTTCTACTCACTTGCTGCCCACTGTACTAAATAAGTCTTCTACACTGTGACTTTTAGCCATGAAGATCTTTTAGATTGTTGCTGTCATGGGTCTCCCAGCTGATCTGCAAAAGGTAACAACGTGTAATTTTCTAAAGAAGCTTCTTCTGTAGGGCCTGCATCCCCACTGACCCCTCGTCCCTCACAGAGGTGGCTGAGAGTTCATTTCAGGTAATGAGAATGGTCTCAGTATGCACTAGCAAAGCAAACTTCTATCCATATTTTGTCAGGGCATTTGCAATTTTGGAGTTAAAACAAGCAATGACGACAATTTCCAAGAGCCTTGTAGGACAGAAGAATGAAAATCTGGGAGTTTTCCCATGTCGGCTCCACACCTGATTTATTGCATAAAGCAATCATCTATACACATATTTATTAAGGGGAAAGGACATTGTTAATGAAACCTGATGTTGATTTTTTTTTCAAGAGACGGAAAGAAAATCGCTTTCTTATAAAATGTGCAGCATATTGTGTGAGCTTCAGACAAAGGAAGGAACAATACTCAGCTTAGAGTATTCCAGTCCCCGGCTCTTGGTTAACCGTAATACATTTGTTTCAAGCGTACAAAACTGACTACAACAGAAGACATGAGCAGCATCCTGTGTTACGCTGTCCAAAAAATTCCCCACTGAGGTCCCTCCTTGGTTTGAATGCTGCAGTTGCCACATCATGTTCAGGCGCCACTCCAACCACTCTAATTACCACTCATGCTTTCTTTGCTAGCATCAGAACCCAAAGCCATTTGCTGCTATGTCATTTAAAGTTCCCCGTGACACTCTTGAAGATGCTTCAGTTTTTAACTGAAAGGATGGTAACAGAACAAGCGATATATGATCACTGCCAGATCTATGGTGAGAAAAGACACTCTCTAAAATCACAGGAAAGTTGAGCAAAATGCTGTTTCAGTGAAATGTGATTCCTTTTTTTTTTTTTTTAATTATGACAGATTTTTTAATTATGTATAATTTATTCTATTTTGGACTCTACACTGGGAATGTCATTCCTTCAGCATTTTGCTTCGTGTTTCAAAAGTGTTTGTACAAATATAACTGATCACAAGTGGAATTTATCATCATGAGAATGAAAATACTTTTGTTTAGAGAGGAAAAGTTTGGCATAAAATTTAAAAGCTGTGGAAATCCTCATCTAATACTACTTTTCAACAGAATTATAAAAGCCTAGAAAATAACGTTTGCTGTAGATATGTGTACAATAGAATAATGTTACATCATATCTCTTCCAACAGTAAAATTAAAACATATTGTGCCAAATGATTTAATGAATAATTACTACTGTACTTTCTGTGTTCAGTAACATAGTACATGTATGTTTGGTTTCCAAGGAGACTGCACTTCAGAGCACATGACAGAAAGGAGCTACTGCATGGTCCAAGAGGTCTCCGTATGGGGACAGCAAAGGGAGAGGGCTTGTGGGCCATATAACACAGAACACTTCCCTCTAATATAAACATAACCTGTTATGACACACACCCCCCCACACACAAACCAACAAAACAAAGAGAAAACACCTATCTCCTGTTTTGCCTTGTTTCCTTCCTGTATGCTTTTTAGATTGGTTGGTTGGTTGTACCAACACCATTTTCCCATGGTGGCCATTTACTTTGCCTCTTTTGTCACATCTATGAACTAGATCCTTCTCCTCAAGTAGGTTTCACAGAGAGTTCAATAAAAGGTCTCTGTTCTGGGTGCCAGTTTATTTTCTTCACTACGGCACATTTTTCATAGCACACAGACAGAAAGAGATGCTTTGAGCATCACAAAACACGGAATTACTTTTAGCTCTTTATTTAGACAGGGACAACATTTCAGGTTCCTCTAATTCCCACTGACAGGAGAGAAATGTAATAACAAAATGTTTCAGGCAAAATGGCATAGAAGCGTTAACTCCCAAGACCTCTGCAGCAGAGCCTCAGGCAAGAGCAAAGGAATTCCAGCACAACAGGAACAAACGCCTTGTATTCTAACCCCATCTTTTCTTTGAATTTGGCAGCCCAGGAATAATGAATGCTTTGAGCCAAAACCACCCATGAAGATGAGTTAAAAGGTCAGATTAAAGAACAGGTCACCTGTCTGGTGATGCTTACTAAGTAACCAGGTTTCCGCCTCTTCCAGCTAATTGGAAATAGAATATAAAGGTCTGAAGTATTACTTCACTTACTTTAAAATGTAGACCCAGTGATGAAGTCAGTACCAGCAGGAGCCTGGGGTTCATCCTGGTAGCTGAGGTGTCACCACTAGCATGGAGAAATGGAACCGCAGCATTTTAATATGCACATTAACCTCAAGTTTGAACAAGGGGATGAACAGAGCAGCCTCCACACCAAATCCATTAGTACAGAACTGATCAGGGCACCTCTCAGTCCATGTGCAAGTGCCTCCAGGTCCTTTGTGACTACAGATTTCTCCAGGATGGAACAGGGCTATGCTGAGGCAATCAAGGCAGCAGCCCAGATTTCTTTTCATGACATCTGGACAGCAAAGTGAGTGAGAGCTTTCAGTTTCCTTTTTTGCACCTTGTATCTCTTTTTATCTCCAGCAGTTTGATTCAGACTATAAAGATATCAGAGACTCTTACACAAGAGAGTCAAAAAAGAGCATGTGCAAGTATTCTCAACTTCTCAGCTTACACTTTTAATCTATGCATACCACACTGTTTCTGCCCTCAATAGAGCATACCAGTGCACAGTGAAATGTTTTGTTTCTATTCCTCTTCATTATGATATAATTGATGAATGCCTCTTCTTCCTTCTGCAGCACAGTGGCTGGTCTGCAGACAAGCCTCGAGCGACAATGCTTTCAGTTAGGCACCACTCAATGGTCTAAAAGAAACCCACCAACATCTTAGAGGGGGCCGATTTTACAGTCCTTTGCCTCATTTCTGTCAGTCGCAGGGGAAGAATTGGAATAGGACTACAGGGGAGTAGAATCTCTGCAAAGCGCAATCTCTGGCACACCATCCGCACAGCTTACAGGTGCTTTGTCACCAGGTGCTTTGGAATAGAGTACTGCTGAAACAACCTGCTTATGTGATAGGAGGCACAGTACTTTTGCTACCTTTCTAGCTACAAATGGTGGATTTTGTAAAACAGCAGCTCACTTGTAGATTATTATGCACAAGACACAGCAGAATTCTGATGACAGAATGTCATGGAACCATGACACAGAGAACAGACACAGGTGTCAGGATTGTTAGTGAAGTTCTCTCTTTTGGCTTGAACCTAAATGATGCACAGATCAACCTAAAAGCTGAATGCATCATTCAGTTTCTAAGGAGCTGCACTGTGAACTTTGATAATACCATCATGATGCTTATTTTCACTGAAGCTAAGTTTGTGTTACAAATTCAGATGATGAAAATAATCATTCTTTTAAAATGTGTATTATATAAAACTACTGTAACCTAATTGGTATACTTTTTCAGAAGATCGTTAACATAATCTCCATTCTTTGCCATTTATTTACGACTTTCTCAGTCTTACAGACTGATAAGAATTAATCTAATAATGTCCTTTATGTTGTTATAGGCATAAATGAGTTTTAAGGGATTCTATCCTTTGGTTTTGAGTTTTTCAAAGCATTTATTTCTCAGCTTCTTAACTTAATATCCTATCCTATTATGGTTTAAACTGTTTTTTAGAGTCTTTTTCTCATCATTTTGATTTGACATTGACATGAAAAATTTCACCATGGATATGAAAGAAAATCAAACAGTATTTTGATGCATCAGTTCAGTTCTAAAGATTCCGAACATCAGATATAAAAACCCATGTACCAACCACTGGGAAGCTGCTTCAAGCACAATCTATCTTGTCAATCACTCTTTGCACATATGATTTGGGATTACTGAACAAACCAAAAGCTGTAGATAAATCAAAATGTTTAACGTGATATATTGCATTAATGCCTTCCTCTTTTTCTGTCCTTTTTATTAGCCTACATTGCATGGAAAAGCCAAGCAGCACAGAGAGCCAGTTTCATAATCAGAGTATTTCAAGTGGGCAAATGCATCATGTCGATTAAAAATAAGGCTCACAGATAAAGCCTCATTGACCAAGTTGTCTATCTCATACACAAGCTTTTTATCTCCTTCTCTCATTGGCATGTGTGTCACACCCCTGGAAAACTTCTCATCTGAGGAGCTGAGAGCTCCTTTAATCTACAAATCAGTCAACAGAATCTGAAACATCACTTATCTGACTGAGCAATGAGTGCTTGTGCTTACGGAGCCTACAGAGCTTCGCTCATCACACACTGCCTCAACAAGCCCACAGACTGTAGCAAAAGTCCCTCTTCAAGGCAGTTTTCCATTGATTCCTTTCCACACAGAAGCAAAGCAAGCACCAATTTCTTAGTGGAACAAGCCTTGATCAGTCAGTAACGCCTGTGTAGATAGGCGCACACACAGCCTTAAGAACAGAGGCTGGTGCTGATGCTATGGAAATAACTTCTGAGTTTCACTTAAACAATGGAGTGCCTGAGCGCCAGCTCCTGCTCCTGGAACTGCCTCGTGCGTGCGGCCAGAACTGTACTCTGAAGGTTCCCGGTGCCAAGAACAACTCTCATATTGGTGATGAGAGGAAAGGGTGAAATAAAATAGGTCTTGAACCTGAAAAATAACTTGATAAGCAAAATGAGTACAACGAGGGCATAACTTACTAATTACAAGAAAATAGCATCTTTTCTGAAAGACATTCTCAACATTTTCATCCAACATGAGACATTGTAACACAATGCTGAGGCTTGGCAGAGGATGGCAGTTCCTTTTGCAGAGCTTCCAAGGTCTCTGAGTTCAGTTTGGTTTCAGTACAAGGAACAAGAACCAGCTTCCTTTGCAAAGAGGAGCAGAGCTGGGATTCTAATTGGAGGTGCAATGAGAGGTGGCCACATTGCCTACAGCCTGCTGTCAGGCTCTGTCTCCTCCTCGGCCCATCACAGTGAAGAACATTTGCCTCTGGGATGTTTTACTTTCAACAAGCAGGCAAATCTTGATAAAACTTGGTTTGCTTGAGTTTTCTTAGCTATCTCAATTGAAATTGTTAGTAACAATTGCATGCCAGCAAAGACTGCAGGCTCAGCAGGAAGAGGAAAATCAATATTCATTTTATAAGAGGGAGAAATAACTGAGGGAAATAGAAAATGAGAAAAGCTGAATTCAATTTCAGTTTCCAAGTACATCCATCTATTGATTTTACAGCACTGGAGGACAGCAGAAGAGCCTAACAAGGCCTCAACTATAAGAGCAACCCTAGGTTTGTGTTGCAAATGCTGGCTCCTGCTGCAGTGCCTGGCAGGGAAAGCTTTTCTCTACGTTTTCATGTGTTCAGGCCATACGTACTCTCCTTTGTTCTCCCTGGCACCTGGAGTGATTTTCATTTTCCCTGTTTGCAAAAGCAAGCTCTGGAAGGGAAAGGACAAAGAAGGAGGTGGGGGATAAAGGACCCAGAACCAAGTCCTCAAAGCTGTTTCAGCTGATGGCAGCAGCCCAGCTGTTTAATAGCTTGGCATCTGACTCCCTCCCTGTTTTCCGTATCACTTCACTTATCAGGAAAACTAGGGTAGCCCCAGAGCCTGCCTCTGCAGCTCCTACATGGAGTGTTATGTCATGCATACAGGGGGCACTACAAATTGTCAGTGCTCTGCTGAGATGCGAGAAGAGCCCACCTCACCTCCTCTGGATGTGGCAGGAAGGCATGAAAACTACTCACTGGAAGCTGAGATGATCCTGCACCCCACAGGCCGGGTGCTGCTCCTCCAGTCTGCCCTGTGCTACTCTATGGCTCACTGCAGGTTTGGAGAGCTGGCACGTGGGGTCACTTTGTGAGAACACTCTAGTGTCAAATACGTGTGTGTTGTGCCTGTCATCATTATTTTCAGGACCTCTAGTGGCAGAAATAACTGTTTGTAGAAAAAATCATATTGGAAAGCTTTTTACATGAGAACAAGACATGAAATATCAGGATGGCTGTGAACTCCATCCAGCCAAGAACGAATGTCAAAATGCCATTTCTTTAATTAACATTCTGGGTTTTCTCCAGGAAATTATCTCATCTTCCTCTTTCTTATGCAGAGTACTGCAAAATAACAAACCCATTTGTGGAAGGATGCTTTTTGGTTAGCCAAGGAAAACTACTGTCACTGATTTAGAAAAGGCTTCCTTCCTCCCCTGTGCCACCCCAAAAACATCCTACTGTTCTTCTGGGCACAAGTCCTCCGAATTCAGGGCTGCTACTGCATAATTCAAAGAAAGACTAAAGTCTGCCAGGAAAACGTCCAAGACCTAAAACACATTTATAGCTATCAGCAATCATTATTTCATACCTGACAGTAATCCCTTTAGCAAACAGCTATCCTCAATTATTGATCTTTCAATATGGGCTTTGAAGGTGAGTTGTAGATGACAGCTTTGAATTTTCTGTTTTCCAACAGGAATACTCTTGGCATGATTATGCTGGAAGTGCAGTGCAGATCACAAAACCTTTCCCCTCCAGACAGCCCCTGACAACACAGCCTGTGCTCCCCTGCCTGCAGCCTTTGGCCAGATCACTCCAACTGGGCCAGTGCCAAAAAAGCCCCCTGCATGGAGCCCATTCTGCCAGGCCTGCACCTATATTAGGTCTCATCAGTGCAATTATGTTATTAAAGATGTTTAAAACACATCTGCAAAATAAATGGTAAAAGGAATGAAAGAAAAGATGCAAAGACTACATCCAGCAAGAACACAGGAGAGCCGTATCCCTTTTTACTAATTTATTTTTGGCAGTAGAGAGATGAACCTAATGGAGAACACAGAACTGGGAGGAGAAGCAGAAGGGGCGAGATGGAGGGGGCTATTTCTCAGGATGAGAGTGTGCAGGTGGCCATTTGTTCTGAGACAAGAACTCTCTTTTTCTGTACTCCAGGAAATGACTGGACGTTTCAAAAATATGCAAAAATCCCTCTTCAAGGTTTCTATCCCTCATCAAGATTCCCTCCCTACCCTATTTGAGAAGCTCATCTCTCACAGCTCTCTGGTTGCTTTCCACTGAACTCACTATAATGAAAAAACAACAGAATTTCTACCAGCAAAATATCTATTCTGTGAACTGCGGACGCTCTTGGAATTGTCATTTTCTGGCAGTCACAAGCAACGGACTGCAATACACTACATCTGGGGGAAATGACAGAAAGAGTCTGCGCCATAAAGATCTGGATAGTGCAAGAATGTGCAAAAGTAAACAGAATTTCACAGAGATAAAACACACTTGACAGGTTTAAAGTACGGTAGTCAGCTCAGTAAGAAAAGAGAATATTAAAACGGAGTGGTTTCAGACGTTGTGAGCAGGACGTCTCTTAGCAGCCACTGTGCCTCTGGGCATGGCTGCAGCTCCAGCACATCTTGGGAAGGCATCCTGCCCCCAGTTGGTGGTGTGCAGCTGGTTGGAAGCTCCAGGCATGCTTAACACAGCAGTGGTGTGCTGGGGGCACCGAACAGAAGGGCCACAATCCTGACCCAGCGAAGGCTGACTCCAGACAAATATCCTATGTCTTGCATTCACTGTAATAGTGACTCAGTACTTACTGAATAAAGCCTACTAAAAAATTAGGTTTTGGAGGAACTGGAACTATGCAGATTGATATCAAGTGCCAGCCTGCACTGAAGGATGACACAGAATGAGAAATATTTTATACTGACATCTTGAGAATGAAATTATTCACTTTACGCTGAAGTGGCTCAGCTGACACTTCTGCACCAAAATGAGTTTCATGAATTCAATGTTCCTTCCCTTCTCTCCTCGCTATTTTTCAGTTCAGCAAGACACAAACAATAAATGAAATGGATGCATCTCATTACGAGCAGTACTTCCAACAGGGCGCTGCTCAGGCCAGCAGCACTCACAGATGAGAGCTCTGTCTGTGCTTTTGCCCACCCTGAGCCCACACGTGAATGAGGCTGCAATGCACTTGCCCAGCCTCAGCTTTCGGCTGACCGAGTAAAGCAGCAATCTGATGCAGGCTGAAATATTAACAATATAGCTGGGAAGGGCAGAAAACCCAGAAAACTATTTACTGTACATGGCCTTTATTCCCTGTTCATTGTGTAATTCATCTAAATCCTGCCCTTTCATTCACTGAAGTCAACGCCACCAAAGCAGTCTGAGTTACTCCACACTTACACTGCTGTGCAGGATCTGCCCCGGAGTGTTCTTCAGAAAGCATTTTACATGAGCCGCATCTCTCAGGGCTCTGTGTGCCTGCAGCTCCCAATACCATTCTGATCCTCCCAGCCACTCTGATCCT